TAATCTATCTGTAGCCATTTTGTTTTGTTGCACATTATACATATAACATATCCACTTAAGACGTTTAAGATGAGGAGATGCAACGGGAGAGAAAAAAATAGGACTTTAGAATTGAAGAAAGGTTCAGGATAAGTTCTTTCAGTTCACAGAACTCATTCCTGCTGTGAAGAAAATGACTTAGGTTTATATTGATTGTAATAAAATAATTTATATCCCATGCAATCACTCAGGCTGCTCATTGCATCCCTTTTCACAAAACTGAACATTCAAATTAAACCTGTGAACCTATTGGCACAAAGGGCCGAATAGTCTTCTGTGCTGTAAATTTCTATTGCCAGACAGGTTATTTGAATCTTAATAGTATCTCCCAACTGGGACAAGTCATTTGATTTATGAGCTAAATGATAATTTTTTATATGCCATTGGTTTCAACATCATGATTTAGCATAAAGAGAACAGCGCAGTAACATCTATTCCATTTCAGCTTAATTTTTTATTTTAGTCAGTTTAGCCTATTATGTCAGGACTTTGACAATGCCTAGTCTGACACCTCAATGCAGTTCTGGGGGAACATGACATTGTTGAAGATGCCATCTCTCAGACGATACATTAATCTGAGGTCCCTTCTGCCTGTTGAGGTGGATGTTAAATCCAGTGAAATTTGGAACCCTATTTGAAAAGAGAAGGGTGTTTCTCACGGCCAACAATCCTCCAGACAAACAAAATCAGTCCAACTTCATGGCAATTTCTGGGACATTGCTGTGTGCAGATTAACTACTGCATTTGCAGCAAAACTTTGTGAAGTACTTTGAGACATTTAATGTGATAAGGTGCTACATCAAATGCAAGGATTATTATTATCTTGGTATATTTTCACCTTGGTACAAACTTTCTATTTGAAAGGGCTTTGTCTGTGCATAAATAGTATGGTGAGAGTTATAGGTTGACTCATCGGGTTAATGGCACATAACAGCGATGCAATGATTCACTTCAATGTGATTTGTTTCCTTGCATTGACTATTTGTAAATAAACACACAAATGGTCTCACAAATAGTGAGGACACGTTAAATATTTTGACGTGATAAGGCACCATAAAATTTATAGCTTTCTATTTTAGATCTTGTTGCAGGCAAATTGTCTTATCAGGTGAGTGACCATTTAATTTTGAGGTTAGATTGATTGTTCGATTGAAGTCAGTTCATCCAATGGAGTTGTCAGCTTTTTCTACTTGATTAAAAATATTTCACAAAACAGGCAACAAGAAAGAAAGAGAATAAGTTTCCAACAATAACTCATTATAACTAATATTTTTTNGACAAAAAAGCCGTGATGGATGACAATGGCTCTTTTCAATCTCATTTAGTCTTAGTTTTGAAACATTCCTTAAGTGGAAAGGATGCTGAAGCTTTAAAAAATGAAAACACATGATTCAAATTCATGAAATATTAGCCACTTTGCATGTCAATCCTCTAACTTTCTATGGTTTTTAATAGATTGCTCTGGCAAGAAGCTGTCACTTCAAATAATCAATGTGAGACTGAGTTCTGTTCTTCAAAGTACTCATTATTCTTTATAAATCTTTAAGCAATTTCCAGCTAATTAGGTTTCTGATTGAATGCCAAGAGTCAACATTTGAATAAAAGTAGCATCTCCATATTGTACAAATGCAAATGAGGTTCACACTCGTAACCAGCTACTTCCACTGAAAATCAGCACCTTAAAGTCTGGCTGAAAGAGTTCAGGTTGAAGAACAATCACATTAATATTTACATATAGGACGCTGATAAATTTAAATCCTCCTCGTGAGAGATTTCCCTGATGCCTTCTATCACAGCTAGAACAGGAAATTATACAATACATTTTCAGTGGATTCCTGTAGCTTAGTGATTAGAGCACTCGCCTCGCAAGCAAGAAGACCTAGCTTCGATACCCAGAAGGACGAAATGTTGGGCAACTTTCCTTACTCCACACGCCTTTGTTTACCTAGCAGTAAGTAGGAACCTGGTTGTTAGTCGATTGGTGGATCGTTTTTCAGGGTGTAATAATTCCTTCAAAAAATAAAAATAATTTGGTCACTCAATCCACGACTGTTTGTGGGACACTGCTGTGCCACTTTTCCAGCTTGCCAGGTTTCGTCCACAAAATATACAGTCAATTCACTTTACAGTATATTTTGTGATGTCTCGAAGATGTGATAAGGCGCTATATCAAATGCAAGGATTATTATTATAATTATGCACAATCTAACTATTTGGAATGAGCAGGCAAAATGATTTAACTCTATCACACAATGTGCCTGAGGGAGGGGGGATGTCTCATATGACTCTCACATATAGCTTAAGCTCTGCTCTTGTGGTTTGATCTAAACTTAATTTGCTAATGGTTCTGTCAGTCACTCACTCACACGCAGCCTATTAACTGTTCTCTGTCCCAGTAAAGTACACAAAATTCCCTTGAAATAGTTGTAAGCTAACTGATCTATCATCGTTAGTTTTGAAAGTGTTGTTTAAAATGTAGAAACTAATCACCAAAATTGTAACAGAAGAAATCAGCCTTGCATATAATTTATGTCGATTATTTCAAGTAAAATTTTAAGAAATATTCATAATAAATATATCATTAGTATTTTTAAAATTGTTGTAAAACACAAATAAAAGAACTACAGTATATTAACAGGTATTATATCATTTATATCCCAAGTATCTGTCTATCTCTCTTTTAAAAATTACAATTGATTTTGCTTCTGGGGCCTTCTCAGGCTGTGCATTGCACATTTGTACAACCCTCCGTGTCACAAACTTTTTTAATCTGACTTCTTACCGGTTCAACTCTCATTTTAAGATGATATGTTTTTGTTTGGATTGTTTTTCATTTCTCTAACAGAGGGATGAGACATGCATATCAGTGAACAAGGCAAATAATTTTTAGAAATTTTAATGCCAAGATGAAGTGCTATCCTAAATGAAAGTAGATCTGAAATAAGCCTCAGTTAAGTCAGTAAAAACATTCTATCAAGCAAATTTCTAACTTACAAACGCATCTGTGGAGGACATCATTTGTGCTATTTTGATTATGACTTTACCTTCAGTACACCAATATTTTGGCCAGAATGTAGATAACATTTGCAGTGTGGGGATTGCTGATCTACATCTCATTACATCTAAACAAGTTTTAACATGTTATGTTGGTTTTCTCAAAGGAACACCTGCTTGGTGCAATTGATCTCTCCAGTTCTTATGAATTATATTCAATCATTACAGACATTATAGCCATTGGTTTAAAATTATTTATTATCATCTTGACACACCTACCATTAAAATAAACATTTCTCCTTTGTTGTACATTCCTGACTTACTTTAGCTTGCAGATACATCTTCAGATAGATTCAAAGGAAATACTTTATAAGTGGTATAAACTTATCACAAATTGTTTCAAAGGACTTTATACTTGCTTCTCCAAATTCCTTACTTTCCCTCCCTCTCTTGGAGCTTTCTGTTCTTGACCTTATTTTGCTGCTCCTATGACACCTACAAGAACATATCACATTGTTTGGAAATAGAAAGGAGTTTCTGGCCAACATTTCTCCAGGTTTTTGTTTTGATCAGCTGAGTGTCTGGCACAATCAGAAACCCATAACTATGCTTAAGAATACTGAGACCAGATTGAGAATTCCACATATGCATCCATCTAAATCTAGTTAAATTGGTCATTTGCTTTTTAGCTGGTTTTGGACACTGCTGTGTAGAAATTGTCTAATTGTCATCTACATATACATGCAGTCACTATCATTTAACAATACCCCTTGTGAAATGCTTCAAGACATTGTGACTTGATAAGATGTTGTATCAAAAGCAAGATTTATTATTATTATATTATTAGCAATGCACTTGTTTGTTGCTCAACTTCTCTAAGACCGATTAAAAGAATCACGTCACAGCAATAAGCCACACACAACAGGCAGTTTGTTTTGATCTCCAGTCAATGCTGAATTGAATGATCACAGCTGGGCTGGTCTCAGTAATCCTGGGTCAGGAAAGGTGAAAATCTAACCAGGATGCTTGCTTTTGATTGCTCTCCGATTGTGGAAAGTGCTTAAGTGAGGACAGGATCACCTTCACTATCAAATGGCCTGCGAACACTTATTCCTTTATTCTCATGTGAGGAATGACCACTTCAGAGAAGTGACTGGCAGAGCCTACAGTAGTATATACCACCCTTCATGAAGAAAGAAGAATGAAATAAGAAGAGGATGCTTTAAGGGTGGCCTTTTTGAAGTCTTTGGGAAGATAAAGCATATGGACAAGGGGAACTTTAATACCATAACCAAAATGATCAAAAGGCTCACAATAAGGTCCTGTGGTCTGCAATTCATAGGAGGGTGCAATCACAGGTTAGATTTAATTATTTTTCTGGTAAATATATGGTGGTGGATCATATGTGCCATTTTAAAAGGCAGAATTTGTCTTTAGAATTTGTGCCAAACCAGTGGTCAATGGAGGAATAAAGAATTTGAAGATGTCACAGGCATTACATTCTTGTCTGGATAGTCTATGCTCTTCTTCATTGTATTTTCAATCCATTTGTTCTCCTATTTTACAGGGAAAATTCCAATGATGGTCTCAACGGTTCCAGGTTAGACTTGTTTTATGACAACTTGCCCATTACTGAAACGTTTCAGGTTCTTTATCTACAAGGGTTTGTGTGTTTTTAATATCCTTTCTATGAATTCATAGGTTTTGCCGCTTTAAAAATCTTAGAGTAGGGTGTGTGAAATATTCATCGGGATCTCCTGTTGGCCAAATTAGTAAAGTCCTCTATTTAAGGAAAAAAACGAATGTTTGGTTACACTGAAGCTTACCTATGATTTCAAGGTTTGGTCAAGCTAAATAGTTTCAGTCGACTATCAAAGAAAGTTGATAGTTTATCCTGTGATCCTTGACACGATAAGCACTAACGCAAACGAGAAAATATTTGCTTTAAGTGCTCAGACATCTGTGTCCAATACCTTTATTTTCAGTTGTCTTTATTTTATGTCATTGTACATCTTGTCTGTGTATTTGGCTCAGGCAAGTTGAATGGCAGGTGTTAAAATATGTAAAGAAAAATAGAAAATGTTCTTGAGATACAGTTTATTTTTAAATAATCTACAATCACCGATTATGAAATTCATTGGAGTCTCTCCTGTATGGTTCCCAGAAGGGCTTATCTGCTCTACTGCTGTGCTTCATCCCAATCTTTTGTGCAGTAGTTAAGGTTTACCTTTAATGGTATCTGGGCTTCCACAGAATGCCTTTTCTTTTTGTTCTTCCTCATTCTCAGAAACATATACAGGCAGCGGTAAAGAAAACGACTGATAAAATCATCAAAAAGACTGCAATGGGTATGACTGGAGGGGAACAGGGAAAATTGGATGGGCATTGATTTGGTTCTGTTAGCCTTTCTTCTGTGAAAATGATCTCCCTGTGCAGCAAAGCTTCCAAGTAACTTTTGTTACTCACAGTCTCATTTACAAACAAATTCACCATCACTGACGAATGAAGGGGTTGTGGCTGGCCGAGGTCACTGACCTTTACCAGCAGCTGGTACAGACCATAATCTTTGTCCAGCAGCTTTTGTTGCAATGTAATATTTCCTGTAGCAGTATTAATCCCAAATAGATGAGGGGCAGGGCCAATTTTCCCAACAATGTTATAAGTGATGACAGCATTAATACCAGCATCATAGTCAATAGCATAAACCTCAGCCACTGCTGCTCCTTGGACAGTATTAGGAGGTACCAGAAGCCATGATGAATTTGACTGAGGCAATAGCACTATTGGGGGATTATCATTTATATCCAGAATAAACACAGTGACTTTTGCTACTGAAAAGAGTGATGGTCTTCCACCATCTGCAGCCTTAATCCACAATATATAGATGGTATGTTTCTCTCTGTCCATTGGTGAATTGCAGTGTAAAGTCCCTTTGGTGTTGTCCACTATGAACTTGTTACTACCATTCAGGATGGACAAAGTGATGTGTCCATTTGGCCCTGCGTCTAAATCGGTAACGTTGATAACTCCAATCTCACCATGTCTCGGAAAGTTTTCCGGAATGAAAAACGTGTACTCGCTGGTGAGAAAGAATGGCTTGTTGTCATTTTGGTCCAAGATGTATATGACGACAGTGGTACTCACTTTTCTAGGAGGAGATCCCTGATCAACAGCAGAAACAGTGAACCTGTACAGCTTCTCCTTTTCCCTGTCCAGGACAGTGGATACTGTTAAAGATCCTGTGGATCTTTGAAGTGAAAATATGGGTGGGGCATCATGTCCCAGCAGGTAGGTCAATTTCCCATTCTGGCCACTGTCTGCGTCCATTGCAGAAACCTTCAACACAAAAGCACCAGGTGCGTTGTTTTCTTCAATGCCAGCTTCAAATGAAGTTTGTGAAAATTGTGGGGAATTGTCATTTTCGTCAGTAATCGTGACGTAGATTGTTATTTCATGGGCAGGTTTAAGATCATCTGCCCGAATAATAATTTCATATCGTCTTTCGATCTCGTAGTCTAAAAGCTGTGACGTTTCAACCAGATGTTTGTTTCTTGAGCTTTCATAGGGTGTTAAATAGAAAGGCACACCCTCTTTGATATATAATTTCCCTTTCAGATCATGGTCTGGATCAGTCACCTCCAGAAGTGCAATAGGTGTCTTTACTGGTGCAGTCTCTTTGAGGTAAATGACACCATCTACCTGGTTAGCTATATAGCTGATGGTTAACTTTGGACTGTATTTGTTGAGATGAATGATGGACACTGTAACTGTAACTGCAGCGGGAGCACAGCCTGGTCCATTTGCTAGGACAACGAGTTTGTGTACAAGTGGTGTCTCTGAACTTGTTTTTCCAGTAAATCTGATATGCCCAGTAGCACTTTCCAAAATGAACATTTGCTTGGATACCTCCTGCACCCGGTTACTGTAAGAGTAAGTAATTTTAGCATTAGGTCCAAGATCAGCATCAACAGCACAAAGCTGTACCACCACACTGTTGGAGGATGTATTTTCAGGGATCCGAATCTTGATCTCTGATGCGTTGAAGATAGGACAGTTGTCATTGACATCTTCGATTTTGATCAGAAGTGTGGCTGTCCCAGATAATGGTGGAAGGCCACCATCTACTGCCACAATTTTCATCTTGTATAAATCCTTGACCTCCCGATCCAAAGGTTGCAGAACAACAATGGAGGACGTCATCTCATCATTCTTCAGGATAAAAATATCCTGGCTGTTTTCCAGGTAATAACTTTGGATGCTGTTGTTCCCGGTATCGTTGTCGATGGCGAAAAAGTCGATTCCAAAAGACGCGCCAATAGGCACATGCTCCGGTATATGAACTTTAATCAATTGTTCTGAGAAATGTGGTGCGTTATCATTGACGTCCAGAATGATTATTTTAATCTTCACCATTTGAAGATACTGATCAGCACACAGAATAACTATATTAACTTCCCGGCTACATGGACCATTGTCGAATACGACTGGACACAGGGTTTCTCGGTCGATCCTCTGGTTGTTGGTGTAGAGTTCCCCATTCTCACTTCTGAGAGTCACATATTCCAGTTCGTTCATCAATTTGTAGACCAATGAATTACACTCATGGTCCAACGCCAAAGATACATCTTTGGAAATGTTCCCGATAAAAACGCCTTCAGCTTCATTCTCTTGCACTTTATATTCAAGTTCTGAACCCAGATGGCTGTAAGACTTGTGGCACAACAGCAAGAGAAGAATGTAAAAGTGCTTCTGCAAAACAAAACATTTATTTAGTACTACCTTGACTCTAGTTAAATCTGTCAGCATGCAGATCAAAATTGGACAGTAAAATCTTGCTTGGTTATTTCTTGTAGTTAACAGACTGACACCATTCAGACAACTGTCCCAACAATGTACACAACCCACTCTCTCTTTTAAACCATATCATCATTCCAAGCAGATACAAATTACAGGGAATAATATCTTATTTTAATATACCAACTTGTGCCAATAAAATACCTTCTCTACAAACGCAATAAAATTCTGCGAAGCACTTTGAGATGTTTGAATGATATGATAAGGTGCTACATCAAATGTAAGGATTACTAGGATTGTTAATAATGCATATTGAAAACTAATAATAATTCTTGCATTTTAATATGGTGTGTTTCATATCATGCGGACAACTCAAAACACTTCACAGGATTCACTAGAAACTGCAGTCGCTGTGCATTTTGCAGATGAAGGCAGCGCCCGGTTTGCGCATAGCAGAGTTTCTCAAACGTGCGTCAAGTCAATGAACATTATTCACACGAAGAAATACTTCAAAGTGCAATGAGTTGCAGTATGCACCAACAGTGGCTTGAAGAAACAGGAATATAAATCTATATATAAATCGGAGTCCTGTAGCTCAGTGGTTAGAGCACTCGCTTTGCAAGCGAGAGACCTGAGTTCAATTCCAGGCAGGGCGAAACCTTGGGCAAGTTTCCTTAATCCACACGGCTAATAATAATCCCTCCAAAAACCAAAAAGAATAATAAATTGGTCATTTTCAATCTACGACTGTTTGTGAGACATTGCTGTGCGCAATTGGCTGCCGTGTTCGCCCACAAATGTACAGTCAATTCACTTTACAGTGTGTTCTGTGAAGCGCTTTGGGACGTCCTCCTGATGTGAAAAGCGCTATATCAAATGCAAGGATTATTATTATTATTTATTATAGAAGGAGGCAAGTCAACTGCAGCAGGAACTGACAACATGATATTACTGTCTTTCCACCGGGTCTGGTCTCCTTCTTGTCCCCCGAGTCCTCCGCTCCACCCTTGGCAGCCGTGCCTTTAGTTACTACGCTCCGAGGCTCTGGAACTCCCTTCCTCACTCCCTTCGTCTCGCTCCCTCCCTTCCTATTTTCAGGTCTCTGCTGAAGACCTTTCTTTTCGACCGCGCCTTTGGTCACCTTCCTCTCCTTCCCCCTGGCTCGGCCCCGGGATCCATTAGTGTGAAGCACTCTGAGATGCCGTCCGGCGTGGAGGGCGCTATATAAATCCAAGTTGTTGTTGTCTTAATATTACTGCCTCAGACTGCAGCTGCCCTTGAAAAATCTGCTTCCAAACTCTGCTGCCATTATCCTGAAATTCCAGTTGACATAACACCTAGAATTTTCCCCATTATAACTTATCACCCCCATTGTATAATTTTAAATGGGATTGAAAAAGTTAACCTATAAACAATACTTTAATAATAATAATAATAATAATAATCCTTGCATTTGATATAGCGCTTTTCACGTCAGGAGGACGTCCCAAAGCGCTTCACAGAACACACTGTAAAGTGAATTGACTGTATATTTGTGGGCGAACGCGGCAGCCAATTGCGCACAGCAATGTCCCACAAACAGTCGTAGATTGAAAATGACCAATTTAATTATTGTTTTGGTTTTTTGGAGGGATTATTATTAGGCGTGTGGAGTAAGGAAACTTGCCCAAGGTTTCGCCCTGCCTGGAATTGAACTCAGGTCTCTCACCTGCAAAGCGAGTGCTCTAACCACTGAGCTACAGGACTCCGGATGCAACAAGACAATAGAACAAGAGGGCACAGTTTATGGTTGAAAAGAACAATTTCAAGATAGATACCGTGTCTGTGAGTGTTTCTCTGCGTGAGTGTCTCTCTCTCTCACTCTTGGTGTATCTGTGCATGCATCTCTCTCTGCATTTCTTTACCCAGAAGGTATTTGATGATTGGAACACATAGCCAGGAAATGTGGTTGAGGCCAGGACATTGAACTCATTTAAAAAGCAGCTTGATTCTGTCAGGGAAGGAGGATAGGGTGTGTGTTTTGTGAAGCTTAGGCCTTCTTCATCCAAACCAATCTTGTGATCTCATGAATGGAACATTGCCAAAGCTGCTACGTGTAATGCTAACCAGAATTTCAGCTCCCATGGCCATGGGGCAAACAATGGTGGATGTGAATAGAGTCAACCTTCTGGTCACGTTTAGTTCTACTTGATGTATTTTATCAAAATGTCCGTGGGGCCTTATATGGAATTTTACTATTGTATTCCAACACATTAAATGTCTGAGCATTTCAGAATTTATGTAAAGAAAGTCATGAGTTTTGGAGCTGCAAGAACAGGTTAATGACTACTTTGTCACAGTTTTCGTCAGAAACTGAATCACAAAACATGATAGCTGGCACCAGTGGTGACTTGTTGAAATCTTGAATCTGCATGCAAGCTGTAAGTACAGCGTCATATATAGGGAAACAAGTGGCATTTATTTGAAAATATCTAATTGCCACTAGGGGGAAAACAAATCTATGTTGGTGAGAAAGCAGCCCACCCCAGTTTTCTACTTCGAAGAAAATATCTCCTGGAAAAATAGATTGTTATAACCAGGCTTCACTGTATACACAATTTCCCAAATCAAATTGGTCATTCAGTTCGCCGATAAAATACAGTTATTTTTTCAAATAAATACCACTTGCTGTTGCTTTCCCTATTTATGACTCTGTGCTAGCAGCTTGCACTCAACTTCACAATCCCATGAGAGTTCTTGATGATGATGCGATAAAGTGCTTCATGAAAGGTGAGGATTATCATTCGAACTTCTCCTAAACATTTATTCCAATGTGGAATTTTGCATCAACTCAATATTAGGTTGGGAGAGAAAGAGTGTTTAAAATAAATGTGTCTGAGCAGATTTTAGCAGATTGAAAATAATTGTGATGGCAGAATGCTGGATTACAATGAATGATTGAAACCGAAGGATGAGATATGTGTTTGCTTGTGCACAAATGTCTGGACTTTCAGAGGCATTCACTCCCATGTCCTACCAACAAGATCAGAGATTTGTTACACTGGCTGTGCAAAGAGCTTTTTTTTTAGTTTTACCATTCAATGTTTTTTGAATGCTCAGGATTGTTTTCCGTCAGCAATTTGAACATTAATTTTGTAGCTTTTCACAAATTTTGATTTTAAAAATCAAACCAGTTTTCATTTAGAGTTAAAACTTTACAACACCATTTTTCCTAGAAATGAAATAGCTGCTTTGTTTTATTGTTGTTATTGGATTTTGTTTCAACCTGAATTGGACAAAGTCTATGGCCGGCTGACTATTCTAACCCTTCAGTGAAATTCGCTCATGTGCACCAGATTCACCACTCACAAAATCCTGCAGCATTATTTACTCACAGTTTGTTTACAAGAGCAGGCAGAATGCAGGCATTAAAGTTTTGACTGTAACATTTATCTGTGCTGCATGGTTTTCTAAACAGCCTATTATACAGTTCACATTGAGATGCAAAGTAGCAAGGTAATAATAGCTCAGTAATGAAAAAAACCCATTACATTGAAATATAACATACACATTTAAATGAACAAACACTTACAGTGCTTTTAAGGGAATTCAGTAAAATATTTCACCACAACAGGATTGCTTATCAAAAGGAAATTGCTCTCTGTGTTCACATGAAGCAATATTTCTGGAAGAGCATCTCTGCTCTCACCGTTCTCACACTTCTTAAAAGTAGCTCAAAACAGATGAATCTGCAGACAAGTAAAAACATAATGCAGTATGGCAGTTACCTGGATTTGTGATCCTGCTGAATCCACAGAGAAGACACGTTTCAGATCCATAGTTTCAGTTAATAGAATTTACTCTGTAAAAAGAAATGTGTGCTCGCTTCAGCAGTCGCTGAAAGTGTCACTGCAGTCTACAAGCAAGTCCTGATACTGGAGGTGGGGCTACCAGCTTGTTAGCATTTCTGTGAACCATATTCTGGGAGATTGGCAGGCAAAGTTGTGCTCTGTGTTGCTTCAATTGTTAACTCAACGAATCATCGAATCGCAACTTCAAAACGCCCACGAGTACCAAACAATATTTAAAATGTGAACAGATAATATTGATAATAATAATAATAATCCTTGCATTTGATATAGTGCTTTATCTTCAAGACATCTCAAAGCATTTCACAGAATATACTGTAAGGTGAATTGACTGTATATTTTATGGGTGATACTCAGAGTATAGCATTTTAAATGGAGATAAGGGATAACAAACGTATTTAAATATTTGAATAACATTATAGCACCTGCAAGTGCAAATTCGAAGAATTTTTAGCATTTGATAGCTTTTCCACAAAAAAAAATCTTTCTCCAGTTCATTGTAATTTATTTCTCTCTCTCTCTCTCTCTCTCACTCATACACACACACATATTCAGTTGTCTCCTCCAACGTTCTTCCCTCCCCTACAAGTGTTTGACTCCCATTTTTCTATCGAGTCCTAGAGAACATTTATTGCCTTTGGTATCTCACCTAAGTGAATATGATTCATGTGTGAGCTTGGACAATGAATGTCGCCAGGCCCTTCAACTGTGAGGTGAATTGCAGTTGAACAAGATGATGTCCTTACCTGGCAGCGATCTGCGCACCTTCAGCAGTCACTGAACAACAGTCAGGAAAGGGAATCCTATCTGATACTTGTCTTTTCTATCACAGGGCACTGGGGTCAATTGTAGCATTTGCCCTGGCACTGGGCTGAGATCTGCTGGCTAACTTGCAGAGCTGGGCGGAGAGGTTAACTTACAGAGCAGATATTGCCTGGCACCTTTCTAATAATATTAATAATCTTAACATCTGTGAAAGTTACTCACTGGTTAAACTCGTAATTATTTTTAAACTTGGTGTTTATTAGTTTTCTTCTTCCATGAGGAACAAACATGAGAGAAAAACAAACGGATTGGAAAAGTAATACAGACTGGGACCTGCATTGAAAACGGTGAAGGATTTAAAAAATCATGGCCATATTTTGGAAATTAGAAATAAGGAGTTTCAGACAAATTTATTTCACAACTACAAGTGTCATGATACATAGCATAAAGAGCCTAGGTGGTAAAATTCCATTGGATGATACTTTTTTGCCAATTTTGTCAGGTTATAAATAATAATATTAATAATAAGCAATAATAATACTCTTTACATTTGGTATAGATGCTTTTCCTATCAGGAGGACATCTCAAAGCTGTCCACAGGATGTACTGTAAAGTGGGTGAACACAGAAAATCATTGCCATGTTTACGAGTATCCAAACCAGAGGAGGAGGAAGGTTGAGATCAATAAAAATGTAGTTTAAGCTCATGGTCCAAATTTCATTTTGCTATTCCTAAGATACCCATCAACTAATTTAAAATTAGCATTCGGATGGGAAAGAGAATAATAAAAAGGTAGATTGTTGGTACTAGGAAACGGGATCAAAAACAAATTGTTGGTGTAAGTAAAAATGTGGAATGCTGAAGTTCACATAACTCCCTTCAGCGAAAGGTTTGCAGCAATGGAATGGGGGATCAGGAGATGATATGTGTCCCAAAAAGCAGTCTTGATAGCAATCTTGAATCAATAGCCTTCAGACATAGTCAAATTACCTTGTAACATATGAAGAAGTCAATAAATCATGGTTTTGGAAGCAACTTATAGGAGTTAACCCTTTGACTACTTGTCAAAGTATATGAACACCAAGCTCCTTGGCTTAGTTCATAAGTTGAGTTGTTTTTTAGTTTATCCAAATATCGCCCACATTATATACAGTCAATTCACTTTACAGTATATCCTATGAAGCGCTTTGAGATGTCTCGAAGACGTGGTAAGACGCTATATCAAATGCAAGGATTATTAGTATAATGTTACTCAGATACATAATTTCTGTAAAATTAACATCATTCTGAAAAAAATACTTTAAAGTGTTCCCTTATTCTCTTTTTCCACCTTGTTCTCTCTTCTATACTTACTGTTTTCAGGTACACTTTACACCTTATGACTAATATACGTTTGAAGCGACTTCTATTTTACATTTAACTTTTAGGAATGTTGTTATAATCATCACTTTTTCCTGACTTCTGCATTCTTTCATTTCATCTGAATGTGGAACCACGTAACATTCGATTGGTCAATAACTATCTAAAAATTCATCTGAAAAAGAATTGTCTTTGAAACTCAATCGGAAGACAACAGTGACAGTTTATGTCAATGGGAGCATGTTGAATTAGGATGAATAATAATCTTAAAATAATAATTATAATCCTTGCATTTGATATAACGCCTTATCATGGCTTTGAGACATCTCAAAGCGCTTCACAGAATATACTGTAAAGGGAATTGACTGCATATTTTTGGGGCAAAATACAGCAGTCAATTGTGCACAGCAGTGTCCCACAATTAGTCATATATTGAGTGACCCAATTTTTTTGGGGGAGCGGGGGGCATTGACAAAATTGGGTTGATGTTCAGAGGGCTGGAATTCTGCTCTGTGTGCAACTCCATTGACAATAACAGCTTCTGATAGGATTTCTCAATTATAGTCATCTAACGTTGAAGTCACTCTACAAATTAACGGCTGGAGCTTCATCTCTCAGAAGTCTCAGTCAATACTAGCAACAGATGCTGGGAGCGAAATGCCATCAAAAAGAATTATCTTGCCAGCATTGCTCGAGGAGGTTACAGAACATTTGGCCCAGATGTGCGACATTCTACAAAGCCCTAGTCGATACAGGAGGATCGTGTTAACATTATTAAGAGCTTCATAAATAGAAGAACTACATTGAGTATTGGAAGATATCCAAAGAAAAAAAATTCAACAGAATTCCGATACTCAAGATGAATCAGTAATTGAATCTGAGTTAACCTAGGTGGTGAAGAAAACATTGGAAGCGGTTTAAAGGACACTCAATTTTCATTCAAACAGCATAGTTTTAGATGGACTTGGGTTACACATCGCAAATTTGTTTGATGAGATAACGAAATCTGGAGGTGAAGGCTATCTATTTACATGCATTGCATAAGTTCCACATATAAAACTTTTAAAGATGATAAAAGGTGCATGGAATGAATAGCAGATCCTACCGCTGGATTGAATATTGACTCAGTAATGAAAAAGCAGGAAGTTCCCGCCAATGGAAAACACTTCATCTAAGGGGTATTGTTTGGCAGAGCTATGAACAGCATAAGCAGACATGAAGCAAGAAAATGCCAGTAATTAATAAGAGCATTCCTTAGATCATTGCCTACGCTTTGAAATGAAAGACATTGGGATGCATTGGAAGTGGCTGAAGAAGAACAACAAAATTGATTCTCATAAGAAAATCAAATGAGGGTTGGATACCTGACTGTTCAGCATTTTGGGCATCCTCCCGATGTGAAAGACGCTCTATAAATGTAATTTTGTTGTTGTTGATAAATGCAAATATTGACTTGGATTTATTTTGTGTCTTGGTCGACTTTTCTGTTAGTAATAGTTTCTTAGGTAGTAGAAAACAACACTTTATAGAAAGAATATTGGCCCATTCATTTCCCAGCCTTAGCCTCAATAATTGCTTTGAGCTCGGTTACATTACCATTGACGGATGTTACTGAGTGACTTGTCAGCTGCTTTCAATAGCCTACTTGTAAAGTTGATTAGAGGCAGAATGGAGTTGTAAAACAATGGATGCCACTCCCTTGGGAAGAAAAATTGATACAGTATATATTTATATATTCAGGCGAGGTATTATGTGATTTCCTCTCATCTCCAGTTGAGCTTCAAGCTTTGTCAATTTTGCGTTATTTTCTCAAGTTTTCTGTGAAAGACTCAAATACCTTCATACCACTCAGACTGACATAAACATCCAGCTCACCTGTCTGAGCAGATTCTCTAGAGACGCTGAGCAAAGGCTATCAGCGCTTGTCTTCCTGGACATTTCTACAGCAACATTCAGAGGAATTACACAAGAGGTATTTGAGTGGATGTGGGAGCTACTGAGAAATATTGTCTGTAGAGAAGAAATTGTATTTAATTTGTTGTACTGTATTGGAAGCAGATGTGAAGTATCCAATTCTCAAGGTGTCAGCCTGGATCAGTTGGTCGTGCTCTTGCTTCTGCATCAGCATATTGTGGGTTGAAGCCCTATGTCGGAGACTTTGAGCTCATGGTCTAGGCTAACACTCTAGCCTGGGGGCCCTGGGGAAATGCTGCATAGTCATATAGGTTGGTTTCACCAACAAATACATACAATCACTGAACTCAACAGTAAGTATTGTGAAGCTTGATGAGACGTTTCAATGAGGAAAGGAATGATATGAAACACGAGGACGATTATTATTTTTTTATTGATATGTTTTAAGAAAATGACTAACTGATTATAGTTAAAATAATGTGTATAAATACCTATCTCACTTAGGTCTCAAATATGGCTCGTTTAAGATTGGTCGAAGGTGATTATTTTGTTCTCTAACAAGTATAATATTTCATTCTTGTGGCTTTTTACTACTTTTATTAGAAAGCAGGCAAAATAATTCTGCTTCTGATTTTGTCTTTAATAACTTCCCACTAGATAATAATTATAGATTAGTGCAGTCACTGAGTTCTGCTGCCATCACAAAACAGCTCTTTTTTCTACATGATCAAAGTTCATGGTTTTATGCCCTGCAATCCCACCAGGTGTTCAAGTAAATTTGGAGTGGAAGATAGATTTCTCTTACCACTCAGCTAGACTCCCTGCGACACTTGTAAATGTTCGAACCACAGTGGCCGCAGAATAGCTCTTTGAATACTTCAATCCATCAGCTACTGGAAGTAGTGCGAAATACAGCAAGTGGTTGCAACCTG